TATATATTTTGCTTCCTGTTCTGGAAATCGAATCGCACATAAGTTATTCCTCTTGACGGCATCCTATATAATTCTTAAGATTTCTTTATTTTTGTTCTTTTTTCTTGATTGTTCTCTACTAGATTAGTATGCAGAGATTTGTTAATTTCCCTCATTCATGTCCCTAGATTTAACTACTACTTTGTCCTTAAATGCATTCTTTATGAAAGTGCTTTAAAAAGTTCATGGAAACATGGACTTAAACGATTATGGAAAATTTCCATGAACTTTTGGACTGTTTCTGAATTTTCAGTGTTAATCTTCTGGATTTCTAGTCACTTTTTATGATTTCAAATTTCCCGTTTACTTTGGCAAGTTGTTCTTGAATTGTCATACTGCTTTTTTTCTAGCATTTTCACTGTGTTTTCCATTGATCTCAGGGTTCTAAATGCGTGGGGGCTTTACAATTTTCATAGAGAAAAATTCCATTATTTAAAATTCTATGTTCCATAAACTTTTTGAAGAATCCTAATAGAATTCTTTATCAGGTAGTTCCAGCACCATTTCTATCTCCACCCCCACCCCCCGAAAAGTTTCTGGCTCTAATTTTGGTCACTTGATTGAACCACCCTCTCTTGTTTATGTCTGGGATCTGAGGCTCTCTTTTGTCTCAGAGATATGGTGGTATTCTTGAATTTATTTGAGGATTGTATGTTGGTATATACCACCTGGTTTTTGGGGTTTTTTTTTTTTGCTATATTTTGTTTTGACATGTCTGGGTGGACAGGTGGTCATGTTACTTTGGTAGCACAGGGCACTCACCCCTAGTCTCCTGGTGAGTGTGAGAATGCATGGGACTGTGTGCCCAGATCTCTGTTTTTGCTTGTGTGATGGAGTGGAGGGCAGGATGGGCTGTTGCTGGCCAGTTGTGTTGTCAATCAAGTGGTATAGGAGCAGGTGATGGCACTTATCCAGGGGGTGGGGCACAGGAGGGACAGATGTAGCTGGAAGTGTGGCTGCAGTTGCTGTCTTCAGTGGGGGCTGTGTGGGGGGCATAAGGGAAGGGAAGATAATACAGGAGAAAGAGAGGGATGAAAAGAACAGCAGAGAGAAAAAGGTAGAAAGTGGAGATGGAGGGGTCATGGTACCCTGCTCACAGTGGCCTGCCCACTGCACTATTTTTGCCATTTGCCTCGAACCATCTATCTTCTTTATTACTGTGCCGGTTTAAGGTGCTGGGACCTGCCTAGGCTTCCTTGACTCTGGTCTTCCATGCTTTGTCTGTATTGAAAGTTACCACGACTATGATTTTTGCTTATGTGACAGTCTTTGACACTTGCCATCTCAAGGGTCCCTACTGTCTGGGTGGGATTTGTTGAGGAGGCACTCAACAGTGGTTCTGAAAGTGTGATACTTGGAACAATAACAACCAGTGGGGATATATTAGAAATGCAAATTCTTGGACCCTTCCCAGACCTATTGAATTAGATACCCTAAGGCTAGCGCCTTAGGTTAACAATCTATGTTTTGACAACCTTTCCAGTGATGCTGATGCACACTGGAGTTTGAGATTCCCTTCTTGGCTTTGTCTTCTTTCTACTCTTAACTTCAGTCTTAATCTCAGCTTTCAGAATCTTAGAACGAAGATGGATTGTTAGTTTCGTACAGTTGGATTGTCAGATGGATCATTAGTTTCGTATAGTTGTGAAGATGTTGTAGGACTAGGCAGTGTTTCATTCTGTTGTACATAGGGTTGCTATGAGTTGAAACTGACTCATCAGAATACAACAACAACAACAACAACTACTACTACAGGTATGTTGGATGTGCTATCAGGAGAAACCAGTCCCTGGAAAAGGGCATCATGCTCAGTAAAGGAGAGGATCAGCAAAAACGAGAGACCCACACTTCAGTGAGATGGACTGACACAGTGGCCACAACAATGGGCTCAGACCTGTAACAATTGGGAAGAAGGCACCGATCCAGGCAGTGTTTTGCTGTGTTATATGGAATGCAGCTATGAGTCAGAACCAACCTGAAACCACCTACTACAACAACTAGAACAACAGTCATCAAACTGATTACAACTCACAGTACTTAGCAACTGTCAAAACGCTAGAAACATGGATCAACTCGCGAGTTGAGGCAGGACATAAAAATCCAGCCGCTTGGGGAAGCTGGTTGATGAATGGAGAGATCTTCTGTTCCTTTCCCAGATTCTCATATCAAGACCATTAATGGGACAGCAGCTTTCCCAACCCCCCAGACAAATGGTAGGGGCATTGCTTGTATCAGTATCAATTTTGCTGATGATATAAACCCAAAGGCACATTGAGTAAATGCATCTCTTCCAGGAGAAGTGCTTGTGTTCTAAAGTGTATTTTAGTGTTTGTCTTTCTAATTACCTGAGTTAGTCCAAAGATCAATTACAGTGTTTAAACCCAGTCTTTGTAAACACTTTAAACAAACACTCTATGATTGTAAAAGCTCAATTTTTATTTTTTGTCGTTAGAATGTAGAAAATGACTCTTTATGTTCCCATATAAAAGTATAAGCAGTTCTCAGGTAACAAACATTTGACTTATGTACAATTCCAGGAGTTGGGAACCAACCCCCACTGATTAGCAGCAATAAGTGGGTGCTATGTTGGAACATGCCATCAAATATTAGCATTATTACTGTATTATTTTGTTAAACATATTTTCATGTATCTGGAAATGTTTTCTTTTTCTTTTCTTTTTAAGATTTTTCTCACAGAAAGGTACAGTATATACTATAGAATAAGAAGACAAACTTTTGACTAAGTGGCATGAGATACTGAATTGGTCCACCTTATTAGAAATTTGGCTAAAAGATAGATTTAGAAATGAAATACCTTTGACATCCCCTTGCAGAAGGGCTGCGGGGAGGAGACGAGCCAGTCAGGGTGCAGTGTAGCAATGATGAAATATATATGTTTCCTCTAGTTCTTGAAGGCTTCCTTCCCCCCACTATCATGATCCCAATTCTATCATACAAATCCGGCTGGATTGGAGGATGTACACTGGCACAGATAGGAACTGGAAACACAGGGAAACCAGGACAGATGAACCACTCAGGACCAGTGGTGAGAGTGGCAATACCGGGAGGGTGGAGGGAAGGTGAGGGAGAAAGGGGGAACAGATTATAGATTACAAGGTCTACATATAATCTCCTCCCTGGGGGGGACAGACAGCGGAGAAGTGGGTGAAGGGAGACATCGGATGGTGTAAGACATGACAAAATAATAATAATTTATAAATTATCAAGGGTTCATGAGTGAGGGGGGAGCAGGGAGAGAGGGGAAAAAATGAGGAGCTGATACCAAGGGCTCAAGTAGAAAGCAAATGTTTTGAGAATGATAATGGCAATGTATGTACAAATGTGCTTGACACAATTGATGTATGTATGGATTGTGATAAGAGTTGTACAAGCCCCCAATAAAATGATTAAAAAAAAAGAAAAGAAATGCCTTCATAGTTCCCAACTGCTCATGTATCATTAAGTGAAATGTGGCTTTATAAATTACACATGTCCCCTCATACCAGTATTATTTACTCCCTTTCCTTCACCCAGGAAATAAACAAACAGAAACAAAAACAAAAGACCAAACAGTCCTTTGCTATCAGGCCGATTCCAGCTCACAGGGACCCAGTGGGACAGTGTAGAAGTGCTACATAGGGTTTTTTAAACGGTAAATCTTTAGGGGAGCAGGAAGCCTCATCTTTCTCAGTCGATAGGTTGAGGGGTTGGAACCACCGAGCTTGCAGTTTGCAACCCAAAGTAGTTAAAAGCGCCACTCAGAAGACAAAAGTAGTTGATTCAAGTCGCCAGTAAGGATTTAGAGAGCAGCTTCCCTTCCACAGATGGGAACAGCCCCAGGGCTGTAACATCAGCCTGTATCAGTGAGGTGACTCAAGGGAGGGGCTGGCCATCAGCGAAGATAGGAGCCTCTGACCCAAGATCCCTGCCGCGGTGGGTGCGGCAAGCAATTGGGGATGCTACAAAGGAGGGCAAGGAACAGAGATGGATCTGAGACACAAAATGTGGGTGATATTTAGATCACCAAGAGTTGAAAGGTATGTGTGTACAGCGATGGGAGGGATTCATTTTACCCCTGATGCTCAGATCACTGCAAACTTTTTGGGTCAGTAGGTGGAATGACAGGTTGGAATGTGGCCAGCTAACAAATACTAACCTAGGGAAGTCAGCTGGCGGTGCGGCCAGAAGCCAGCGAGCGTCCCAGGCCAAAAGCAGAGGTGAGTCACGGGGCAAGGAGGCAAGGTCAGTAAAGGGGCGTGTCTGAGATGGGGGCGGAGCCTGAGGCGGCAGGCTGGAAATCTGCTGTGCGCGGAGGCTGGCGCTGGGCGGCGGGGCGGGGCTTGGG